CACTGACCAATTTGTGGCTAGGGCTGCTGTATTTGTTGTGGCCCGGAATGGCATTCTTACCATGCCTATCCCAATCCTTTCTTCCAGACTCAGATACTGTGCAGAGAACATCATCAAGAATTGCATCTGCACTAACCTATCTGTGTCCAAACTCTCCTGTGATGACATCACCTTCCACCGGCTCTACCAGTTTGTGACAGGCTGGACTTTACTAGGTTCTGACCTCATCCTTATTGTTCTCTCCTACTCCTTCATCCTGAAAGCTGTGCTAAGGATCAAGGCTGAGGGTGCTGCGGCCAAGGCCCTGAGCACATGTGGTTCCCACTTCATCCTCATCCTGTTCTTCAGCACAGTCCTGCTGGTTCTGGTCATCACTAACTTGGCCAGGAAGAGAATCCCCCCAGATGTCCCCATCCTGCTCAACATCCTGCACCACCTGATCCCCCCAGCTCTGAACCCCATTGTTTATGGAGTGAGAACCAAGGAGATCAAGCAGGGAATCCAGAAAATTCTGAGGAAGCTGTAAGAACATAAGTGAGATTTGACCTTGGAAACAGAAACTGATAATGGGGAATAATTTTCATGATGCATAGAAAATGTAAATGATTACTACAGAAATAAGTATGGATTTTTCTTTCTCTAATGTTTCATTTGATCCTGGAGATATCCATATTTTGACTCCTGTTTTCTATTTCACTGACTGTTTTTGCATTCTGGAGTTACCTAGAAGTTTCTCCTGGCCTCACTTATGTGAAAGGGACTTGTCAAGCCATAATCACAGGAGCTTAATTAGAGTGCTATTGTTTTTTTAAATAAATAATAAATGGTAGTCTAATCACTTTCAATGCCTCTCAATCTCCTCAATTACTTAATATTTAGATATGTATTAGATCCCTTGATTCTACTTGAGATCTGATATACACAGATCAAATTGGTTTTGTACCATGAATGGCTCTCTCGTGAACATATAGAAAGTTCACTCCAGAACTTGGATTCTTATAGTTGAGTGAATGCCATGCACCATCCATTGCCTCCTCTAGCCCTGTCAGATCCTATTTGGATAAATACTAGTATTTATCCAATGACACTTCTCTGTAGCATAAATTTCCTGTTATTCTTTTCTTTTTAAAAAAATGTTTAAATAAATTTTAGGATCACTCAATTGTGTGTGTGTGTGTGTGTGTGTTTTAAGTGAGAGGTTTTTTGTTTCAGATGTGCTTTATCAACTTCTGAATTCATATGATCTTACCTGAATTTTCCATCAGATTTTAGGCATGATCCATCCACACTCTCTCCTGCTTATCTTAGATATACTTAAATTGACTTAGCCTATTTTCATTCCTATTGTGTCAATCATTATATTCTGTGCTGATGCCAACATAGTTTCTTATGGCATCCAGACCTTTGGATTAGTGAGTTATTTGAATAAGGATATGTCTGTTTTACTCTTTGCTTTTCCCTTCCTGACCATGCCCTGAAAATGGTGGCAACTCAGATACTGATCCAATATTTCTTGGGATTAATTTACATTGTTAACTAGGCTCTTTTTTGAATACTGAGAACTTCATATATGAGAATCATTTGAAAATTTCCTCAAATGTAGCTCATCTACGATAAAGTTAGCCATTCTTGGTGGGGGGGGAGCTTATAACATCATTTTTATGACATTGTCCTTTATAAAAGTATTAGCTTTGCTCTACTCTCTCTTCTCTGTTTTACAACTCTAAAGACTGATCCTAACTAAAATACAAAACACTCTTCTTAAACCCTCTTCTGTTCACCCATATTTCAGTTAGTCCTAGCTCATTATTTTTAGATTATGTGCTCCAAGATTTTTTCTTAAAGTCTATGCAGAAGTATCTTTTTCCACATAAAAAAAACCAACAACAACAACTTTATTTGACAAACTATGTTCATTCTACAAGCCTCAATTTAAACTCTACCTACTCCAAAATTCCTTCCCTTGTTCACCCCAATGGAATGAATCTGACTATATGGAACTATGTATAAATCTCTTTCTGATACTGGTTTATAAATTCCTCTGAGTATGTGGAGGAGTTTCATTCATCTTGTTAACTTAATATACTTAAGAGTTGTGAATACAATAATTTATATATTGTAGTTTTTAATTTAATAAAAGTGAATAATTCATATGTGTTTAACTTGTTTCTTATTTCCCCTGAAAACTTTTTAAGGAAAGGATCAAGTTGTTAATATATTGTATACCCCAAAGCACCTTACAAGAAGTATTTTACAAGTCACAGTTCAAAGCAATTTTATATATTATAGAACCTAAGATTGCTTATATTGGAATGAGATAACAAAGACTTTTATTGAAATCCCAGGTATACCAATTTGGCCACTGGTTAGATGTGTAACTTTTGACTCACCAATCTAGTTCTAGTTTTCTCATTAAAGAAGAATGATGTCCAATCATCACAAAGTGCTTATTTTAAATACATTTCTAGAATGCAGCTAACATGCACGTTGGGGTCATCCCATAAGTATAATGACCTTTGTCTTCTTAAAGGATCTCTTAGACACATCCTCCAAGTCCCTGAGTGATATTCTTTGCTATAACACATAATATATCTGTTTACATAACTCTCAGACATCTGAAGAGAAACTATAAGCTGATCAACTCTCTTTCACTTCACCTTAGTTTAGATGCAGAAATCTCTCCTTTTACATTGGAAATGTGTATGTGCCTGAAGGGAGGCCACAGCTCCTGGGAACAGGATTCCCAGACCAGTTCTTCATGTTTTTAACCACAGGAGAGTGGCTTTTATAGAATCAGCATCTTCATAAAGTTGTCCAGTTGCTAAAGCCACAATAGAAGGCCAGAGAGAAGTTGAGGAGTCACACATTGCCTGGAAGCAGTTGAATGATCAAACTGCTACTTGGAGCACTTTCTCGGTAAGGCTTTTGGGAACAGTACAGTGGAAAGTGAATCATAAGTGAGACTGTAAGTTTGGTCTTCTACTTAATTCTTTGTTTATTTTAGAGAATGTTATGGCACCTTCATATATGAGTTTGGAAAGACCTTGAAAATCACTGACATAAAAAAGCATGAGCCCATTAGAGCACGGGCAGCTGAGCTCACAGTAGCTAAGCTCTAGTCTGTCTCCAGCAGAACAGTTGACCAGCAAGTATTCCCACTTTGAGCAATAGAGGTATATTGTTAGTGTCTGGATTTGTGCCAACTGTCACAAAGAAAAATGAATCAAACCTCGTCCTTGACCGTAATGAGCTTTGGTCTTCCTAGGAGAGGTGGTTAAGAACTATGGATCCAGTCGGAGAGATAAAACTACAAAAAAGGAACCTACAAACTTCCCAGAGAGTCCATGTAAGGAAGATCACTTTTAAATTGGAACACTAGAGGGGCCAGACTGCGCTGAAATAACTACAGATCATGGGAGAAGAACCAGTTGGATGTCTGAATCTGAGCAGAGCTGTGGCCAGAGCTGCTAAAATGTGGCAGCAGCCTTGAATTAGAGTCAATTTAAATCAGTGGTTAGGTCAGTTGTCACGGTTGGGTGTAGCTCTGTCCTTCTCAAAGTATTATTCCTGGAAAGGCAATATCACCATTACTGGGAATTTGTTAGAAGGACAACATTTTGGGCTTTCCACTCAGATGTATGTACAAAATTGGTAACTGGGGGTTGTGTTCAGCAATCTGTGTTTCAACAAGAAATCCAGGTGATTTGATGCATACTCACATTTGAGAACTAGTGGTCTAGATAAAAGAAAGTCATGGTGAGAATACCATACCATATATTTGAGAAAAAATAAAATAACTCTAAACCTTGATTAGGACATTTTGTGTGTCCAGGGGTGCCCCGACCAGATGTCCAAAACATCCATCTGTGAGAGATGACCTTCCCTCTGCTTCAGGGGAGAGCACAGCAGAACCTGGCAACTTCTTCACCAGCAGGATCCTGGATGGTTAAGGAGATACTCAAAGAGAGCTAAAGCTGCTGTCTGTGTAGCATCGTATCCTGAGGCATGTTTAAGGATTCCTTCAGTTCTCCCCTTGTCCTCAATCCCTCACTCCCTGATTTTTCCTCCTTTTCCAGGCAATTGCAGAGGAGGTTTTATTTTCTTAGGCGGTTACTTACTGAATATATATACAAATACAGATACTGCATAGGTATTTTTTGTGTTTATTGTTATATCACAAGGTTACATTTTTTTCATCACTAAATTATTTTTTATTTGATTCTGCTTTGTTCAGCTTTTTACTGAGTGTTAAGCAAGAATGCTGAAGGTTTATAGTAGAGCAAGATATGGAGATGCTATATTAAATTAGTCAAGGGTGTCGTGACACTTTCAAAAATCTGTCAGTCCATAGTTTCTGAACTATACTTATGGAGTGCCTATTATGTCTCCAGGTGCATTGTGTTTTCCTCTGTGCTATAATATAAATATAAGATTCGATTGCTGGCAGATGGAGCACAGACTTTTTGCAAAACAATTAGGAAACACCAATGAGTATAGAAAACTTTTATCAATATTTGATAGCAGCATGATCAGAGAAACAATGGAGAGAAGAGGCATCTATGTATGTAAAAAAGAATAATAATTTTAAAAATTGTAAGAGGTATAATTCTTGGTACAGGTAGAATAGGACAAGCAGAAGTTAGTTATCTGAGGGCAAGAGAGTTGATTCTATAAGAAACATATGACATATACAAAAGCACCAAGATGAGACCAAGCAAAGTATGTTCAATAGGTGCCTGAGTCTATGTGGGTGAGGTAGGAACATACTTGAAGGGAGTTATTCTTTATTCATAAAGTTATGAACACTAAGAAGATTGTTTAATATGGAGTGATGTGATACAATTTACATTGTAGAGAGATTTTATGCCAATAGAATTGTGAAGAAACTTTACAGCCCAGAATGGAGGCAAAGAGATAAGATAAGAGGTTTTTAATGAAACAGTCAAACCCTGAATTCATGTGTCTTTTCTTTCAGCCAGTTCCAGGTCCACCTGCCAGTCATGGTATCATCTCTCAACAGCACAGGAACCCAGGTGACTGAATTCCTGATGATGTGCCTGCCGGGAATGCAGGACACACAGCATTGGCTGTCTGTAGCCCTGGCTCCCCTCCTGGTTTTGGCGCTAGGTGCCAATTTTGTGTTATTACTTGCCATCTGGCAGGAGGCATCTCTACATGAGCCCATGTACTACCTGCTTGCCATCCTCTCCCTGCTGGATGTCATCCTCTGTCTCACAGTCATCCCCAAGGTCAGTGCCTCCCTGAATTCACGCTCAGGCAGCCAATCCTCTTTCTTGGTTTGTTTGTTTTTTCCTGCTGTAAATCTGCTTACACCTGAATAAAAATACTCAATGAACAGCCTGCACCATTACATTTGGTCTATCTGAGCTAAGATATGCCACCTCTCATTCTCCAGGTCCCTGTTTTTCTAAGGCTTTACTCTTTCCCAAATAACAGGTCCTCTCTCAATGTCTGAATCAGTGATTTTTCCAACTTCTGCCCTTCTTTTTACTTCCAGGGTGATTCTCCTTGACTGTGAATGACCCCACCTTTACATCCAAGGCCTCTAGAATTTACTTTCTAAGATGTGACTGGATGTATGCATATGTCATTTACTGATATAGGAAACATAGTTGGAAAAGGGTTCTTATGAATATGTAGAGGTTGGAGTCTTTAAATATAAATATTGGATTACTGGGCTTAATGTCTTGTGATACATTTAGATGGGCAGATGTGTCAGCTGGAGTTTGGGTAAAAACTATAAAGATCAAGAGAAGACAGGCTATAAATATTTTTAAATAAAAATCATGCTCTATAGATAAAGGGAAATGGTTGTAAATCAAGCTCTGGAGGTGAGATTTGGATGCACAAAGAGGGAACTTTAAAAACAGGATACTGTCCCAGAGGGGATTATGGGGCTGTGGCTTGGGGATATGGAAGGTTGAAGCCATCTGAGTGTTTTCCATGTTAGGTACCTCAGGGTGGGAATGGATGCACAGTTTTTGAGAATGATGATTTGGCAGGTCCTGCTCATCTTCTGGTTCAACCTGAAGCCCATCAGCTTTGCTGGCTGCTTCCTGCAGATGTTCATCATGAATACATTCCTTCCCATGGAGTCCTCCACCTTTCTAGTCATGGCCTATGACCGCTATGTAGCTATCTGCCACCCACTTCGCTACCCATCCCTCATCACTGAACAGTTTATCATTAATGCAGCCATTTTCATTGTCTTGCGAAATTTTCTGGCCACACTGCCCACACCTGTTCTGGCTGCCAGGCTCAACTACTGTGCCAGCAATGTGGTGGAGAACTGCATCTGTGCCAACATCTCTGTGGCAAAGCTTTCCTGTGGGGATATTTACCTAAATAAACTCTACCAGTTTGTGAGTGTTTGGTGCCTACTGGGTTCTGATCTGGTACTCATCTTACTATCCTACTGCTTCATCCTGAGGGCTGTGATGCGTCTGCAGTCAGGAGGTGCAGCCACCAAGGCCTTGAGTACTTGTGGTTCCCACCTCATTCTTATACTATTCTTCTATACATTGCTGCTGGTATTCATCTTCACAAACAAGGCAGGAAAGAAGGTGCCCTCAGAGGTACCCATTCTTCTCAATGTCTTGCATCACCTTATTCCACCAGCCCTGAACCCCATTGTTTATGGAGTGCGAACCCAGGAGATCAAGCAAGGAATTATCAAGCTACTGAAGCACCACTATTGAGAGGTGAGAATCAAAGATCAGGGATTATGGAATTTGGGGCATATATTAGTGATGGTTTCATCTGAATTCCATAAGAAACAATATGATATTCATGCTGTTACCCTCATCTTGAACTTAAACCTTTCTCAACCACTATTACAATATTTACCCTCACTGCCCCAATGGGATATGCTTCAGCCATATAAAAGAAGAAAATCTTGCCACTTGCAACAATACTGATGGACCTTGTAGGCATTTTGTTAGGTAAATTAAGTCAGGGAAAGACAAACACTGTGTGATCTCACTTACATGTGGAATCTAAAACGCAAAGCAAAACAAAACAAAATGTGAGCTCACAGATACAGAGAACAGATTACAAGGATGGTTGCCAGAGGCAGGGATAGGAGGTGGGCAAAATAGGAAAGGGGGTCAAAAGATACTAACTTTGAATTTTTAAAAAATTAGACATGGGGATGTAATGCACAGCATGGTACTGTATTACATATATCATAGTTGTTAAGAACATAGATCTTAAAAGTTCTCATAATAATAAAAACAATTGTAACCATATGTGATGATGGATTTAACCAGTCTTATGTGGTGACTATTTGACAACATATACAATTATCTAATCATTATGTTATACACCTGAAACTAAAATAATTTTACATGTCAATTGTACTTCAATAAAAAATAAGAATGTGAATACATTATGGTGTACCAAATATTTAGTCAATAGAAAGAAAACTTAAAATCCCTAAAGGACCAGGCTGAATTTGCCTCACCCCACCCTGCTCTATCCCAGATCTTTAAATCCCTGGTAAAGTATATCAAGAAAGGTAATTGTTTTAGCTCTCCTTTATTTACAGCTACCCCAGCAATATTCACTGTCCATTTGCTCATATCTGCCTCCTGTGGCATCCAGCCTAGGAGTAATGCAGATGCAATTATTCAATCAAGCAATATTTGAAGAGAATGCTTTAGTGTTGAGCATTATTCCAATGAAACCCAAAATATAACATCTCTGTGCTGTATCATTCCCTCTCTAGTAACATTATGATGATAGGGTCTGGCCATAAAACGCCAGCCTCTTCTTTTGTAGGTCTCTAGTTTGTAGGATTTAGTCCCTGCTTTGATTCTGACCTGAGTTCTCATTCTATTATCCTACATTAGTCTCCACGTCTCTGCTAGTTCTAGGATGATAGTCATCTCTTTGCCACAGCCCTGGACCTCTGTCTTTGTCTCCCCATGGCTGTTTCCCACCCACTACAGGAATCTCCATTACTTCTTGGGCTTCTGTTTGTTCTTGACTTAGGCCTCTGTACTTATTGCTCCATCTGGTTGGAAAGTCTTACTCTGTATGTTCAAATGATTAACTTCTCAGCATTAACATTTTAATTCAAATATTACCTCTATTGAGTGTACGTTCCCAAATTTGCACCCAGAATGGCTTTCTTCTGCTATTTCAGATCTCTCAAACACAATATGCCATCTCTTTTTCTTTTTTTATTTATTCATTTACCTATTTAATAATTACATTTCCCTTAAATCGAATTCACCTTAAAAGGTACCTGGATTGCAAGCAGCTTGTCTTTTTTGTTCATGATCTTATCCTCAGTTCCTAGGTCCTGACATATCTGGCACATATCAGGTGTTGAATATATATTAGATGTATTGGTCCAAAAAAAAAAATGGTTCCTTAAGTTTAGTGTGCACGGCCACTGCCACATCTGTGACCATACTGAAATATATTCTTAGGTCAATCTCCAGAGTTGGTTGGAATGTCCTCTAAGATATCTGCTTGATGCACTTAACAGTGATAGGAGACAAGTCTTTGACATGCATAAAGCTAATCAACAAGACCTTTGAGATTCTAATCTTTTAACCCTGTTTTCAAATATTTTATATTCTGCATTCTCATTGTTTTCATGCAAAGAACTCAGAATTCACCCTAATTCTCTGGTTTCCTTTTCTCTTTGTGGTTAAGCAGACACAAATCAGAGAGATTTCATTTATTATTGTGATCATTTATTAAACATTTTAAACCAGTTAACTTGCTTTTTCTTTTTCTTTTTTTAACCTCACCCAGGAATATGTTTTTATTGATTTGAGAGAGAGAGAAAGGAACATCAATGTGAGAGAGAAACATCCACTGGTTGCCTCCCATATAAGCCCTGACTGGGAATCGAACCCAAAATCTTTTAGTATATGGGACAATGCTGCAAACAATTGAGTCACCGGCAAGGGATAACTTGCTTTTCCTATCCATTTCCTGAGTTTTACATCAATATCTGAGGAGAATATTAATTCATATAATATGTTGTGAGTGAAATACAGCCACTGTTGTTCTTTATTGTGTTTTTCACATAGAAATAGGGCATAAAACTCTATAAGTAAGCCAGAATTTCTGTTTTTAAAAATTAGTAGACAAACAATGCAGATATTTTAATAATACAAAAAAATTCAAAATTCTCTTTTAGTAAAAAAAAGCTTGTTATAAATTCCTCAGCTCTGCAAAGTCATTTCATATGTTTCATTCTGCCATTTTATTTTTTTAAAAATCTGTGTTTGTTTTGAGATAAGTTGATGTGAATCAATATTAAGCCTCATAATTTTTTGAGCATTGATCAAAAGATGCTGGTAAATACCATTTAGAAGTTGCAAGCATTATATTTTTTACAGTAGCAGTTGATTAAATTTGCTTTAGAAGTATATCATATGTTTATTTTGAGAATCCTTCTCATTGATATTTAATTAGAAATATGTTGAATTAAGAACTTCTTCTGAAATAGTATGGTTTGCAAGAGTGAGATTTTACTTGGCTATACTGGTATCACAGAGAATGTATTGTATAAATGGAATTTGAACATAATAGTACTTGAAATTACTGTTCATTGTTAGGATGATGTAAATGCGTTTTCATTTTCAAGCAGCTAATAATAGGAGTCCAACGTTTATGTAAATAAAGACCATCAGATAAAGTTCAAGATTGATTTATTTTCATTACTGGATGGAGGATTAAAGAAATTGACAAAGCATAGAACACTGTACCTTAAACAGATCAGTGTTTTATCCAATATTTTAACTCAAGTTAAATGGCCTAGACTTTGGGAACTGTACTGATAGTAGACTTTGACACATTTTCTTTCTGGGGTCAGAAGGCAGGAACCCATAATTTGGGGTGTACCAAGACTTTCCCTGAATGGAATTGATATTTCCCACATCAGTAATCCTCAGAAACTTGTCAATGTTTGAGTCTTCAACTTGTCAATCCTAAAGACAAAAGGAAGACTCAAATAGCATAACTTAGTTTTTTCAGAGGGAAATGCTTTGTTTATTGGAGCTTCTTGGCTATTGGACCAAGGAGGAAACATACCTGGGCAGGTGAATACAGGCTGGGATCTATACATGATGTGAATGTATAAATGATCTTCCAAATATGCTTGGATTTTGGCCTGTGAACAAAATTATAAATTATAGTATTTGGAGAGGAGAAAACAAGATGGTGGCATAGGTTAACACCGGAGATTCCTGCCTTGAACAATCACTTCAAAAAACAACTAAAGACGGGAACGGACATCATCCAGAACCACAGGAAGGCTGGCTGAGTGGAAATTCTACAACTAAGAAGAAAGAGAATATCATACCCAGACTCAGAGGAGGCGCAGTGCTGAAGTGAAATACTCAGGTGTGGAGTGCACGCGGAGCGGGCTGGCGGCAGAGGGCGCGGTTGTTGTTTTCAATCGGGAGGGAGTTTCAGACTCTGAGCTCCAGATCCTGGAGAGTCTCTAGGGACCCAGACTCAAACAGGAGAAGCGGGACTGTCTGGCTTCGGTCAGAACTCGAAGGCAGCTTTCTCTCCGAGGTTTGCAGCGGTTGCTGGGACCCTGTAAGGCAGAGCCCTAGGGACGGAACTGAGAGCAGCCATAACTGCTCTCCTTGTAGATCCCCTGGGACCCGCCCCGCCCAAGCCCTGCACAGAGCCATTTGCCGGATAGCCTCAGGCAAACGCTAGATTAGCACCGCCCAAGAGATCCAGCACAGAAGCTCTCCCACTGCAGACACAGCGGACTCTCATAGCCAGTTATCCTGGAGGTCAAATCACCCCCAGTATTGCCATCAACAATAAAGGCTTAACTACAACAAGACTGCGCACAAAGACCAATAGGGGGTGTACCAAGAAAGCATAAAAAATGCGGAGACAAAGAAACAGGACAAAACTGTCAATGGAGGATATTGAGTTCAGAACCACACTATTAAGGTCTCTTAAGAACTGTCTAGAAGCCACCGATAAATGTAGTGAGATCCTCAAGAAAACTAATGAGACCCTTGATGTTATGATAAAGAACCAACTAGAAATTAAGCATACACGGACTGAAATAACGAATACTATACAGACTCCCAACAGCAGACCAGAGGAGCACAAGAATCAAGGCAAAGATTTTAAATGTGAAGAAGCAAAAAACACCCAACCAGAAAAGCAAAATGAAATAAGAATCCGAAAATACGAAGACAGTGTAAGGAGCCTCTGGGACAGCTTCAAGCATACCAACATCAGAATTATAGGGGTGCCAGAAGATGAGAGAGACCAAGATATTGAAAACCTATTTGAAGAAATAATGACAGAAAACTTCCCCCACCTGGTGAAAGAAATAGACTTACAGGTCCAGGAAATGCAGAGAACCCCAAACAAAAGGAATCCAAAGAGGACCACAGCAAGACACATCATAATTAAAATGCCAAGAGCAAAAGACAAAGAGAGAATCTTAAAAGCAGCAAGAGAAAGAAACTCAGTTACCTACAAGGGAATACCCATACGACTGTCAGCTGATTTCTCAACAGAAACTTTGCAGGCCAGAAGGGAATGGCAAGAAATATTCAAAGTGATGAATAGCAAGAACCTACAACCAAGATTACTTTATCCAGCAAAGCTATCATTCAGAACTGAAGGTCAGATAAAGAGCTTCACAGATAAGGAAAAGCTAAAGGAGTTCATCACCACCAAACCAGTATTATATGAA